CAAAGAATCACATTGTGGAGGAAGTAAAGAGCACGGATATATAGATTATATATGTAACTCTAGAACATGATATATTTATAAATATGAATATGACACAGAAATACAACATAATGGCGCCTCTTGGAAGGTTAAAACAATCCAGTGCAGCCCACAAGCTCGCCCGATTAGCCTCTAATAAATGTTTTTATGCAAATAACTTAATGACCATGTCCACGTAGGATTATCTCCTCTTAATGGTCCTCCCACTATGGCATCCATTAGTCGCTGGTACCCAATTTCAGAGCCATTGCTCATACAGCCAAATGAGAGAGGCGAGTCTCTAATGAGCTGCCGCCCAATATGTGCACACGTAGCACCACGAGGTTGGGCTGCAGAGGACGGGGCCATGCATCAAACACCCTGGCTGGAGGCCTATCCGGGCCCCTCTGGTGCGGCTAACGTCACTGTGTGTGGCAGCTCCCACCATCAGCATTTCAAAACGTAGTGTTGAAGAGCTGTGAGTGGTCAGAAAACTAGACATTAGCATTCTGCGCTGTTAGCTTTGTTAGCTGCCAGCTGCTGACTCAGCTGTTTAAGGTTTAAGGTTAATATGCGTAATGTGGGGTGACCGAGAGACATTTAAAACCAGAGTTACATGGAACGCACCATCATATTCTGTACAAACTAGTCACGGCCGGCATGCCCAGTGGACCCTTTCACACCTTTACTGACCTGTATAAATGTCTACAGGTACCAGGGACGTCAGTAAGAGGGTAGGAGTCATGGAAGCCAGATGAGCTGGTTTTGGTTTAAACGTCACACACACACACACACACACACACACACACACACACACGGTAGTAGAGCAGAAGGCAATGTTAACATTGGCTTTAACAACCGATTGTAACATTATTGACAAAGTCCGGCCTCTCGCACCTTATTGCTTAATTATTGAACAGCGGCCGATTATGTTTGTCAGTCAGCATCAATGACACACATATCGCATAAATAATTATAATAAACAGAAAAAATATAAATACAAGTTTATTAAATAAAAAGTGCCTACCTTGCCTACCCATGGCGCTGATGGGAACCCGTTGTTTCAGATTCGTTGGGGAAGCCAGAGACCGTCACTAAGGGGAAGTCAATGAGCCTGTCCAGATCTGATTTTCAGCACAAACCTTTTCCTCTACTATGTACGTTTTGCAACTTTTCAATCCAAGATGTCTTCCGTCTGTCCGGAGTTTATTCATTTTTGAACACAACATAACAGCCATTATTTAATGGAATATTACTGACTTTGGTAGAGGGTTAGCCGTTTAGTTTGCTCTTTGTTGCTCAGCCCAGAGCTGTGTTTGGTTTTCTATGGAATGCATGAAGTGTGTGTTTGTTTGTGTGTTTTGACGTTTGTCCCGTTCTTCCTCCCTGAATACGTGAAGCCTTACGGACTCAACAGTAAAACCTGAAATAAACTGTTCCCGATTCTCAGCAGCTTCTCCGTCCGTTGAAAAAGAAAAAAAAAACCTCAAATGGAGTGTGTGTACATTTTATCATGTGTGGTATCGCCTTTTGAAAATTGCAGGTAGGCGAGTGTTTAACATTCTCTTGTCAGGCGTCCTCCTGCTGGGACAATAAATGCCTGTCCAGTTTTGCTCACAGCGGCAGCTGCAGATTACAAACAGCAGGAGGACGCCGGAGTCTGAACACAAAAGCGATAAGGACGCCTGTCTTAGTGCCGCCGCTTTGGCTGGCTTCTCCTCGCGCCAGGAGCCTGCTGCTTTCTAATATTTACACACAACTACGACGGCAAATGTACCGTAACTTCGCCCACACTCTCCTCCCACACCTGGAACCGGTGCGCATGTTGCTGTGTGTTTCGGTCTTTTGGAAGACAGGGTCCGGGTTATTTTGGAAGGAAAAGGGAGCGGGAGGCCTAAATTACTGCACAAGCTGAGTCAAATTTCCATCGCATCTTTTCATCCAGGAGTTCCAGGAGGAGGGAGGTGTGGATGATGGAAACAAGAGTTTTTATTTTGGAAGTCTGGAGTTTCTGTTTTTCGAGACGAGGGTGGAGGGTGAAATGCAGATTCGCTGTCTCGACTGTGACAATTGGAAAGTGCAGCGGGAAGCCGCAGGCCACGGACACAGCGTATTACTCACAACAAGTCCATGTTATTGAGAATAAAACACAACGCAGAGAAAGAACACGACTAATTCTGTGTCGTAAAAAGGCGACAGAATGCCAAGGTGCTCTTTTGGCGCCTTTCCACCGAGCGGCACGGTACGGGTCGGGTCTGTTAACCATGATTTGGCGAGCGTTTCCACCGCCAACAGTACGCTTACTCGATAGGCGTGGTGTATTCCAGAAAGTAGTGATGACGTCACTTGATGGGCGTGGTACATGACGGAAAGTAGATTGACGTAATTCGATCGCGCGAGAACTGAAAGCTAACAGCCGACCCTGTTCCTGCTTCTCGATATGTGGCTGTTGGTCACAAGGAGACGACACTCTTTGTTTGAGCAAAGGCTACATGCTGCAGGTGTGTTACGTGTGTTGTCTTTCCCCTTGCGGCACGCGCAAATGACGACACTCTATCAACCAATCAACGCTCTGCAGTGAGTCTAGCTCCGCCCTTCAGTACCAAACAACTGTGCCAGGTGCCCCGACGGAAGGGTACCCAAAAAGTGGTACGGTACGGCTCGGATTTTTGGTAGTGGAGACACAAATAAAAGGGTACCGACCCGACCCGTACCGCACCGCTCGGGGGAAACGCGCCATTATTCTTTCTTTAAAATGTCGATACTTGGTGGAGATGAGCATGATTGACATCACCTTTGGCCGGTGGTTAGCGCGGTCCCTCACAGCAGGAAGGTCCCGGGTTCGACTCCTTCCTGTGTGAGGGTCTGCGTGGCTTCATCAGTTGTCTGTGTGTCAATTGGCTGGTGACCAGGCCAACGTGAACCCCGTGAGACTCTCAATTCGGAATCTCTTTGTGGTTAAATAAAATGAGGAATCATTGCAATAACAGCACCCTTTGAAGCACTCGCTCAGTATAAAAACCAGAGCAGGTCACCAACAATAAAAACACCGTGTGACTTCCAGCCATTCGCAAAGAATCACCAACTCGGGCAGAGAAACTGTGCATATATTTTACTTCTTCTTTATTGTGACCTAAACCCTCAGCGGGATCTACAGCAGGTAGAAGAACGGCAACTTGTTCCTCTGAACACCCACGAGCATCACACAAACACAAAAACAAGCGGAGGACACAGAGGAGAGGGGGAGAGAGGGGGAGAGCGGCGAGGCAGAACACACCTCGCCAGATGTTCGGGCTGCATCAGAGCTCACACGGCGACGGGTGCAGCCTCCACAGCCTGCAGCATCTCCTCCAGACGCAAAGTTCCACACCAGACTTCCAGCTTCACACTGCAGCTTTCAGAAGGAGTCAAACATGTTTGGGCCACAGAGAACCGCAGAGGGAGGCGCCAGCTTGTTTTGGAAATGCAAAGAGCACAATTTGATGTAATTATGGCTAATTATAAATGCCATGTACATGGGTTTATTATTAATGCACCATCACTAATACAGAACATGCCTAAATGGATTTATACCAAAACAAGGTCCTTTGATTATTGAGAGATTATTGACGTATTGCTTCCTACAGAACAAGCCTTGACTAGTGTTTTCCTAGAAGGCCTCCAACCGGCTTAACCAACCAGCGCCGTGGGTCTGAAGCAGGGCAGTGAGGTCAGGTCTCCTCAGCCCGGCCTTCCATCTTCTCTGGACAGTAAATCAGCCACAAAGTGCCAAATTTAAAAAAATGGAGGAAATACTCAGAGTCCCAGTGGAAATATGTGGTGTAGAGGCTTCACGTTGGGAACGTAATACTGTTGGCCGCGGTAACAGCATCATTCAGGCCACGCAATTAAAATAAAGTGGTTAAAGTCAGGGGAAAACCTGCCAGTGTCCGAGTTAGCCTTCGCTAAGCCCCGCCCCCTGCTGCTGTCACAGCGACGTCGCCATGGAGCCCATTCTGTCACTCACAGGATGCATACAAACACAAACAGCATGTCAGAGAGAAGCAGGCAAGATATAGAAAGATACATCCAGGTTAAACAGTTTCATATTTCAGAGGATTTCCCATCATTCAAAGTTTAATTTGGTCACGTTAGCAGTCGCCCGGTTCTGTCCGTCTCCGGCGAGGAGCCCACGATGGGTCCGACCCGCCAAGTAGAAGAATGGAGGTGAAAACTTCTGGAACAAAGCTCCGCCTTCCTCGTGAGTTTCAGGTCCCCGTCGGGTCAAAATACTGACAATTGTCCCAAACAGAGAGGGGGGCGGTTGGGTTATTGGCCCGTGTTTAGGCCATTGCTGGGGGGGGGGGCTAACCACAGCCAGCACCCGGCGCGTGGATACCCCCTCCCTGCTGAAGCTGAGTGTTGTGGTTAAGTGCCGTCGCGTAGCCCCCCCCTCCCCCACCCCCCACACACCCACCCCCATTTGCCATCATTATGTACTACTGCCCCCTACTGCAGGCCCGTGGCTGTGGCGCCCCCGAGGTCAGCGTCTGTGGAGAGGAAAGCAACGCAGGGGGGCTCTTTACCCGAAGAGGCTGGAGCGATCGACGGCCCCCCCGAGGGCCCTCACAACACTGACATTAGTGGAGATGTCTTCCTCCATGGGGACGGAGAGGGGGGGGGGGGGGGGCTGTCAGAAGGTAATGATGGAGGTGGGGGGGGGGGGGGCGTCAGTGGTTGCACACAGCAACATGTCCTCCGTCACTGGACACTCAGACATGTGACATTTCAGCAGCAGGACGGAGACGGGGGGGGGGGCAAAGAGTGCCACTTATTTTCAAATGTTCAGGAAACGTGCCGCCTGCTCTTAAACATACGCATTAGCTCAGCGAGTCCCACGCGTCACCATCACAGCTAATGTACGGTGAGTCACACGCAGCGCGTTACCCAGCAGCCACTGGGCTTCCTCCTCACGCCAGCTTACAATGACCCACGCCGTCAGATGGAGACGTTCATTTCCTCTTTATTACAACAGATCCGTCTCTCACCACATACAGTCAAACATCGGCAAAGCTCAGGCGCTGCTTTTATTGGGTCTGCCTCGGGGTCTAAGGGCCCTCCTGGTGGAGGTCTGCGGGTCCATCGCTGCCAGTTTGGATTTGGGGTCACAGTTTTCCTGCACCTTCTTTTGTCTTTTCGGGGGGCTTTTCTTCCCTCCATTCACTTCTGCAGAGGGAGAAGAATCACGTTGAACACACCACCTTCTCCAAGTCATTGGACCTCAGTGACTCAGTGGTTGGATCACGGCTGCATTTGGCTGCACAGCGAGAACGAGGAACTTGGTTTTTCTGAAAAGTGTTTTATTGTGAAAAATGACCAGATTCTCTCCCAATTAAATGAGCTTGTCCCTCTTGACACATTCCACGATGTTTGTCCCGACTACAGAGGCTCCACCTCCACCATTTAAAGGCAGCGTCAGGAGGCAAACTTAAAAAGCGGGTTTATCGAGTTTGGAGAGTCTCACACGCCTCATGTGGGTGAACGTTTTCATGCCAGTTGGCCGCGTTCATGAACCACACCTTAAAGGCAAAGAGGCTGGGGAGCCCAATAGGGCTGGACGCTCTGGAGATGTGGGGGGTGAGGGGGGGTGAAGGGGGCCTTACCTCCACACAGATACCCACCGTTCCTCAGCCACTCATGCGCATGAAAACAGGGAGCAGAGGAAAGAGAACGAACCTTTTTTCTTCTTCTTGGCGACTCCTCCGTCAGGCTCACTCGCCTCTGCGCCGTCGGCCACCTTCCTCCTCTTGGTGGTCTTCTGCAAGGAGCAGCAGCTTGTTAGTGACCGGAGGGACTTGTCACTGACAACCCGTGCAGCAGCGCGGTGTGGATTACTCAGACAGAGCAGATATACAGACATACTTTTATGTGTTAGTAACTAACTAATGCTGAACAGCTGAGATTCACATCCACGCAGAGCCGATCGGTTCCCTCAGGAATCCGGCAGACGTGGACGTTACTTCAACGGGTCGGAGTCTCAGATGTCCAAACACTGGAGCGCAGCGGTCCGTCATTAAGGGCGGAAGTTGGACCTCGAATGGAGACGCTGGGACAGACGTCTCTGATGGAGACAGACACTGACCCTTCTGTTTCGTGGAGCCCGGGCGACTGCTCGGCCCCCCACACGGACCCCGGGTCACACCATGTGACCCCGGACCCAGACGGGCCAACAGGAAACTAGGAAGCGCCTGGGGTCTGCTGAGGGGACTGTCCCCAAACACCCCTCCTGGCCCTCGGTCGTGACCTTTGACCGTCGCTCATTCGGACGGTTGCGGCTGGCGGCAGAGCGCCGCTGAGCAGCAGCGTGGGCCGATGATTACGCACAAGCAGCAGCGAACCTTCCACACGCAACGGTCATGCTCCCTGTGTTCATCGCCATGAGTGACAACTCGCACACGCCGTTGTTGCCATGGAAACAAGTGGTTAGTCAAGCGGCGTTCCCACGCGGGGGGCTAAGGACTGAAAGTCTCGGATTGGCGTGATTGAGCCGGAGGGAGGTGCCAGTGGCGCTGTAGTGACTCTGGGACGCGTGTGCTCACCTGGGCGGGGGCGGGGGCGGCGACCCCTCCACCGACCGGAGGACTGAACTGCAGCTTGCCGTCGTCTTTAGCCTGGATGGCCTCCAGGCCGGCCTGCAGGATGGAGCGCAGCTTGTCGTACGCCGGCCGGTCTCGGTAACCCAGAGAGGTCACCTCCTCCATGAACCTCTGGATCTCAGCTGCAACGCAACACAGCGGCTAAACACGGGGCACAAGGCGGAGCCCCCGGTCCAGCGAAGCAGCGGGGGTGGGACGCGCCGCCCGCAGGTCAAAGCGCTAACAATAAGATGGCAAGTCGCCATTTAGTCACATCTCTAAAGGTTTAGCAGACTTGTGTCCTGGTGGACAAATCGAAGATTTGCTCCAGCTGGTGTGAAAGATCTGATCTTACACGCTTAGAAATGACGACAACTTATTAAAGAGCAGTTCTGTGACAGTGTGGCAGCTGGAGAAGCTAGAGGCTCATGGGTAATCCCAGTCAGCTGTTCTCCGTCCTTCTTACCTGGCTTGTCTTGAGAGGAGAAACACTTGGTCAGAAATTCGGAGATGTTCTCTTGGCTCCTGAAAGGGAAAAACCGGCGGTGTGATTTTATGGCCCCTAAAGGTTTGAACACTAGTCTAAAACATCTCGCTCTACTTGGGGGGTCCCACCTGATTTTGGCGTCTCTGACGTAGAGGGGGTCCTGCAGCTTGTCCTCCCAGGGCAGCCGTCCACACAGCCACTGGATCATACAGTAGACCAGGATCTCCAGGTCACTGCGCCTACACGCAGCTGGAGGCAACACGCCATCACAACCAGCACGTCCATCACAACCAGCAGGTCCATCACAACCAGCAGGTCAGCAGGTCCATCACAACCCAGCACGTCCATCACAACCAGCACGTACAAGGGCCCAGTCCGCAGGTAGCAGGCCCCTCCCATCACGCGGGAGGGAGCAGGCCCCTCCCACCACACGGGGAGCAGGCCAGGTTCATACACTTATGTTTGGACTTAACAAAATCACACTTTATTTTTAGACACATCTCATGATGCCATTTACAACACACACAGACAGACAGAGAGTGGGCGTGGCCTCTGGTGGGTGGGTACCTACTTGCTCCTTTGTGTGCATCGATGCTGGTGAACTCGATGGTGCCATCGTGGCATCTTTTGGGGTCCTCTTTGTACTCCTTGATGACACTGTCAGGTGCGTACCTGTAGGCCAGCCCATAATCCACCAGGTAAACCTGAGGAGACACACCCATTCAGACGTCCCCCAGTGACCAGAGCCAAGGCACAGCAGGCCAACCATTTCAATTCCTTCATCCTTATTATTAAGGTTGGTTATCAGATTTAATAAAGAAATAAGACCAAACGTCTCAGTAACTCCAGGGGAACATTTGCAGAAGCAGCTGTACCTAATAATCAAAATCCTGAGGGGCCGGTTTTTAAATTGTCATTTATAAATAGCTCTTTAATAACACCACCAATGATACATTATTAATCTTCAAATTAAATATTTGTCCCTGCCTTGTTTGTTAGAAAAAGCTTAGCTGCTGCCATCTAATCTCCGCGCACACGCACACGTGCACGCACGCTCACACACGCGCACGTGCACGCACGCTCACACATGCGCACGCACAAACGCACACACACACACAAACGCACAGACTCGCACACACACACTTAACTGACTGTAATGCAGCAGCAGCGCGTCCCTGCGTTCAGGTCACAGCCGATTACCAACATGAACAAACGCTCCGGTTTCCAGAGGATGTGCAGACTTGAACTGACCTGGTTGGGATCGCTGTGGCTCAACATGAGGTTGGATGCCTTGATGTCAGCGTGCACGTACTCGTGGTCGTGGATGTACTCCAGAATACCCAGCTAAACAAGGGGAAAGGTGATCATAAGGAAAGAGGAGCAACACTCGAGCACGGATCGCAGAACTAGTGTTATTTTTATTTTTTTAGGCATATTTCTGTGTGTATATATATATGTGGTAAAATATACAAATAAGTCAGGTTTATAGCGCTGGGCAAATATTAATTGTTGATTGCAATAAAGAGCATTTAGCTTTGCGTTTAATCACATTGTTTTGCACAAAATTGAAACCGAATGAATTCAAAAGTAGTGCATTGCAGACTTTTATTTTGAAAGTACTGCTGTAAACAGAAATGCAATAGCATTTGGTTTGCTAAACACTCAACCCCTTAAAGAAAGAAGTGCTTTTAACAGCAGTTCAATCTCTTCCCAACCATGTATGTAATGGAATACAAACCACTGAGCATTAACTGGTTGCTTTGGTACGAGCAATACTGGCCCCGCCCCCTTTGCTGAAGCATTGTGGTCACTGGGCTGATCAGTGGTTTTCTTTACTACTAGTCATGGCTGGTTTGAATATGAAGGAAGGTTCTGAATTTAACCAGAGTTGTTTCCTTTCACTGCATTTTTAAACGGGGAGAAACGACCAACCAGTCGAAGGCCGAGCTGCAGGACCAGTTTCCTCGGGAACCTCCTTCCACATTCTTCAAACTTCTTCTGCAGGTCGGTGCCGAGCCGGTCGATGACCATGAACCTGTACCTGGACGATACCAACAGGGCCCTTTACTAACGGACCAGCAGCTCGCGCCGAGTTGGATAGAAATCTTCTTAATGCTGCTCAGTGTTTTCAGCCCCATGAAGCAGCAGACGACGTGAGTGGGCCCCTCCCACAGCCTCACCTTTTGCCCCCGCGCTCATGCAGGCCCGAGCCCCAGTACCTGGGCACGCCCAGCGCTTTCAACTTGCGGGACTTCATCCAGCTCTGAACTGCAGGACAAAGAGACACTTCTCAGAACCTCTGTAGCCAAACGTCCAGAGCGATAAATCAGACCCAGTGGGTCCCTACAGGAGGCGCAGCGCACTGCAGCGGGTGTGGGCGGAGCAGTAAGAGCAGAATCCTGTTGGTGGGGGCCGGCGCAGCACAGCCGCGAGCTACTCGGCTGCTGGGACAAATATTTACCAACAACGTGAGATTCCTGCATGAATAAAATATGAGCCTTTGGTTCCTTAGTAATATAATAGTTAATTGTCAGGGGAGACTGACATTTGGATTGTTATTATATAAAATGCAAAGCTGTGGCCCGGGGGCCAATGGAGCTGCCACCAAAAGCTCCCCTTCCTCTGCGGGGCCCCTCCGTGCCTCCGCTGCAAGATTGTCTTTTTTAATTAAGAAACTTTCTTTTATTTGTTTGCCCTGGCGGTGAGGCGCGGCGCCGTGATCACGCGGCTGCCTTTAGCTTGGTGCGTAATGAGGAGTGGACTCACTCAGGTCGGGCTTGGCGGCGCGCATGTAGAACTTGAGCTCAGAGAACAGCGGCCCGTTGTCACTGGGCTCCTGTGGACACAATAACAGGGATGTCACCTACATTAATTGCGCATTAAAACAATTTTATTGAAATCTTAAACCATTTTATGCCACTGATTACATAATGACAAAGAACGTTTAATTCTTAAGACCATTTACACATTAGAATGGGAAACAATACATCCTAATTAAATACATAAAACCAGTAACTAAGAGACCCGGAGCGGGACGAACAACGTGTCCGCTGGGAAGCTGCGCCGTGGCTGCTGGCTGGGCGCCTCGGCCCGGCTTCCAGTGGCGTTGCCCTGCGAATGGCTCTCGTGGCCAAAGAGGCGGACACGCAGTCCGGAGGAACCGACCGTTGACCCCAGGTTGAAAAGACCGGCCGGCCGGTTGTGGTTGAGATTTTAAGATGATTCTGTTCACCGCTTTTCGCTGCCACGGTTTTTAAACAAAGTCGACGTACCGGCTCGTTTACGTCGACTGGCTCTCGTCTCTCGTTCGGCTTAAAGACAAAATGTTCCCACGTCGGAGCTTTGAAACAGAGTCCATTCACAACACCGTGGGTGTCCGCTCTGTGCGTGTGTAGACACTACATTCTGTGTGATGGTTCTGTGTGATACACACACTTGCAAAGGGGCGGAAAGCTTCAGGTAAATGTCGTGAAACTTTCCATGAGAAGTGAAGCGCTGGGATTTTGGCGTGTTTTGCCGTCGCACATGACAGGGAACTTAAATGTAGTAATGGAGAACCAGGCAGCTCAGTGGAGCCTGGAAGCAGCTGGTTGGGAACCCAGAAACGTAAACATGAAACACTGTTGTTTTTAACGTCTTTGTCATTATGAAGCTTATCGATTACTTGGTAAACTGAAGCCATGTTCATTTTAATACCAAGTGTATTTGTTTTACACCAGCGGGAGTAGGATGTGTTTGTGTGTCCACCCAAAAGTACACCGTCACCTCCAGTTGCAGCTAAAAGCCTTTGTGAAGAGAGGAGAGTTGTAGTTGGCTGTGATCACAAGCAGTATGCAGCGTATTCATCTCTAGCAGAGTGACTTGGAAGGAATAAAGCCTTATTCACTCATTCACTTACCACTTTGATGACATAATAAAGAATTGTTCACGTACCACTTTGATGACATAAGGAGCCTCAGCACCGACGGGTTTGCCACAATCCTCATCCGCTGTTAGAGAAACGTGTCATTAGTAAACACCAGTAATGCCGTCATCGCCCTTCGTGTAGCATAACGAACGGATCATCACCCAGATAGATGAGGCCGAAGCCGCCCTGGCCGATCGGAGCGCCCAGCTTCCAGGTCTTCTTCCCGGTGTCCGTGAGGACCTCGCCGGGGGGAAACTCCTCCGCCAGCTTCCGCTTGGCCGGAGCTCTGCCTCTGCCTGCCGCTTTGGCTTTAGGGGGCATCTGCAAGCACACGGACCCGGCGTTGCGCGCTGATGTTCACTTACAGTAACTAGCAGTGCTGATGCTACGTGGGCGTCGTCCTTCTGTTTACTAGCAGTGGTGAGGTTACTTGCCCTAACTTGGCTAACTCGACCTAGCTCCGCGCGTTACGCGGTAGTAACGTCATCTGCTGTTTACCGCCCGATTAACACCATTTAACACAATTGGCCGGTTCGAGCAGCCTCTTTTTAAGATGGTTTAAGCGGGCGGCAGAGCAGGTCGCTGGGTGGAGGACAGAGTAACGCGACGTCTTTATGGATGTTAGCTGTGATGCTAACCGCGCTGTCTCGTTAGCATCACAGCCTCACGTGACGTTGAAAGAGGAAAGCTCCTCGGTGTGTGCGATGTTGTTTCTCCAGCAAAGCAACTCTTACGTGTTTCATTAGATGATGGAATGAATACGCACCTTGACTCGCTGTTTATTGTACGTTAAGCTCTGTGTCGTAGCAGCTCCACACTTCCCTCAAAACTAGCGGTCAGGAAATGACGTCACGACCCTCTGCTCTCCTATTGGTCGAGAGCACGCTGCGGTGTGACGGCTGATTGGCTGCCTGGTAACGTGGTGGGCGTCAGAGGAGCGACGGGGTCTTCTTATTGATGACGGTCCATCTGGTCCACTGAGCTGGTTAAACTGGGTTTTAGCTCTAATTCATCGGTAACATTACATATTGCACAGAGCCAGTACACGATAACTCTACAAGTAAGTTACTGAAGGTACCACTTACCTACTGTAAATCGCTTTAGATAGAAGCAGCAGCTGAACGTACATTGAAATGTAAAAAGAAAAAGTTCCCCAATTTAGTCTTTTTTTTTTTAAATCATTCAATCTCCACTTATGTTTTTGGTCTTTACCAACTCCCGATGGGTCTTTTCTTGTGAGGGAGCGGCCTCATTTAGAAGGTTTAACCAACCTGCCCATACCTGTTTGTATCGGTACGTCGATGCACGCAACCCTCCATATGGTTAATGTGTCATTTGATACAAACATATTGTGTTTCTCTGGCCAGCCTGCGCTCCACTCATGAATAACAAATGGACCCTTTGGTATCTGGTTTTCCAGGTGATCACCGAGTGGAGAGAACCGTCTGTACAGCTGTTCACTCATGCTCTGCGGCCTCTTTACCGTAGCGTTCCCTGGCTGCTGAAGCCGGCGGTGAACTGCTTTCTAATCCACATCGGATGCTCCATGTGGAGTCGTGAAGAGGAGGGATGACCCACTGCAGTGACGAAGATGAGCCGAGTGCTGATGGAGCAGAAAGACCCGACGAGGGCCCCAGGAAGAGGAGTAAAGCGGAAAAGCACGTGTCTTTCCCCCCCGATGAGCAGATAGTCTCCGGCTTTGCTGAGCACAGGGACACGAGCAGAAAGGGTAAGCTGCAGTTCAACTTTGTGTCAAGAGGAATGCAAGTCTGATTTAATGTCAATTTGGTGACCTTTGGTTATCTGCATCAAAGCCACCATTAAATGGAAATGGTTTCTAACAATGTCTGCAGTCACATGGCATCTGCTGCCCTCTGTCTCGCCCGGCGCAGCGCTCGTACTCCTTTTGGGGGCAGTTTTTCATGTGCCGATGTGAGGCTCTGGGGACAGGAAAGCCCTCTGAGGCCAATTCGTATTTCGTGTCTTCAGCTTTACAAAAATAAAAGTATTTATATTTAGAAAGGGTAATTATATTGAATTAAAAGGAAAACAAAGCCTTTAGTGAATTTCACACGGGAAACCCTCCCTATATTCCCTCAGAGTTTAGCTCACTCACCAGGATATGAGTGTGTAGCTTGTTGAACATCAATATCTCCTCAATTCAATGTGATATCACCATCCAAACCAAATGAAAGCTACTATTTTGCAAGAATGCCTCCATCCTCGTTCTCCTTTGCGTATCTGCAGTGGGCTCATGTACAGCGTATCCATGGCTGTGAGTACAGTCTATTCACCATCTAACTGAAAGCTCAACCCTCTGTGCTGTTAAGTTAGATGCTCAGTTCAGGCGTCACTCCGTGTGAAGCGTTGAAGAGCTTTGAAAGGTCTGAAGATTAGAAATAAGATCTGTTCCTCTTTTCTTAGACATAGATGAAGAATGAGGTTTTGGTCGCGTATTTAAAGGAGGACATCGCTTAGATTCATTGCAAGGCAACAAAAACCAGTTGCACAACATGGTTCCCTCCAAAGCCAGCAATGGCCTCCCCTGTTCACACATCCGCCAGAGTTGTTTGGTTTCCCATTAACTCCACTCTGTATGCTAAGCTACGCTAAGCTTAGCACCTCTTAAATTACTCCTGCTTCAGTGAAGATTAATAGAAATAGAACCTTAAAACCATCCTACTTTAAACACAACAGATTGTTTTTCTCATTTTCACATAAATAAATAATGTGATCTACTGTCGTAATGTAATGTCGTTACATACAGTCTGTATTTGGGTAAAATGCATCCGGCTTTTGAAGGATACACAAGGATGTTTGTGTTTCCATCATAAAACCCTCTGTAGTCTCTCACATCTTGGACCTTCCTTCCCATAAAGGCTGCGTATGATAGATGAGATGCCCAGTGAGTTGATTTATTGCTCAGACAGACATTCATGTCCGTAGCATAGACACACACACACACACACACACACACACCCTGAACATGGCACAGTTTACTGTACGGCATTTCTTAGCCCCTTAAGCGCTTTTGGATGGCTGCTGGCGGCTCGCTGGGATGCAGAGGCATTAAAGCGGTGAATGTGTGTATTCTTCTGTTTTAGTTGACAGCTGCCTCACCTTGACGGAGGTGATGGTGGCCTACCAGCAGAGCTGCAACAGACACCAGGTCCAACCCAGAGCTCACGTCCTGCAGCAGCTCCAGGTACGCAGCTACACATCCCACCGAGCGTCAGTCAAGCATGATGACATTAAACCAGACGGACAGCTCATGTTGCCCAAATTGTCCTCGATGCTGCATTCTGGCTACTGACCAGCAGGGGGCGACTCCTCCGGTCCCGTAGAACGATGGACCACCGGGCCATTTGGTTCTGGGCAGAAAGAATAAATAACTTTTCTCTCCCAATGACATGCGCTGGTCCCTCTTGACACATTCCCCGTGTCTGTCCGGCCCCCGCGTCACTCCTCTGCATTACAGATATGGAACCTTCCATCTATTAGCTGTGAACACTTCACGGCCACAATCCAAGATGGCGACTGCTTCAAACCCGGTCAACAAACCTGTCTACACATCTCCTATAAGGCCTATGCTTGGAACCTATCATAGAGCTAGAGCACAACCTCCATTAACTGTGTAATGTGCTGCCACCTCTTCTGTCCAGTCACACACTGTTAGGAGAATCATGAAACGGGACATTTATTAAAGTAAGAGACAAAATGGACACACACACAAATCATGCATCCAGGCTATTTAGAGGGTTTCTTCTCAATGTGTGTATAGTAGAGTACGTATAGCTGAAATGTATAGTTGAAGGATAAACATACTGAAACAAGTGCTGGTAATCAACCTCGGATGTAGACTATCACCTTCTACACCTCAATGAATTGACGCACAATCCTCTTCTAGTCTATGAGTTGGCACAAAACACACGTATCTCGCTAGAGAAGGCAGACTTCTCTGTCGTCTCAGTCATTTTGACAAATAGGCAAAATGTTATTTAAGATTTCCCCAAAAAATGGATTCTATGTGGTACATGAAGAAAAAGGTGCCGCCATGTTTTCAGACTGGGTTCTTTAGTTACATCAAACTTTGTATCCCTGAAGAAGGACAGTGGCACAGACCTGAGCAGGACACATAAGAAATCAAACCTATATTTCTCAAATGAACGACAAGAAAGAAAAGGCTTTTCACACTGTTGTCATGATGACGTGGGGGTGCAGATCTTACATAACTCATCTCAGAGAAGGCGTCAGCTGCTTCCCCCCCCTCGACCCCTGAGTCCCTAAATGACTTCTTTGAACCGTGGCTTGAAGGAGCCTGTGCAGATTCACTCCGAGATCAGTTCATAGCTGAAATAAATGACTTAAATAAATAGGTTGGAGATATTCGATGAGCATGAACCATTTATTGCACATCCATAATGTTGCTCACGATTCTTGTCAATTGAATCCATTAGGTGCACAGGGTCAAAGGTGACCCACGAAGGGGCTCTGCACACTGTTTTAACGCCTTGTTTCTTGGTGTTTCTTGTGTTGTTGGACCCATTCTCACTGCTGTTGCTGCTTTAAAAGCTTCCTTAGAAGCACTCCTATTAGCCGTAAACTGCCTTTCAGTGGAAATCTTCAGGCAGCCGCTAAAAACTACATGCAAGGTAATGACGTTTAGAACACATGAAATCAGGTGGGGGGGTTTACACGAGGTCTTGGCCCCCCCCCTCGCGCTGAGGACTTCACAGCAATGTATCTTGTGTGTGAGCACTTTGTAGTTCCATATAACGGGGGAACACCAGTCTGTTGGGTGAAACCAGATACTACTCTGTTCCATAGAATGTTATTTTCAATTTGTGACTTTTTTTTAAGAATAAACATCCTTGGATTTGAACAATTTATTCGAGCTAATTGGTTGACGGACGTTGAGGCGGGAGGGTCCGTCCAACCGACAGGTCTAATAACTTTGTAGTACTGTTCTCCTGGCTATCAACGACACCCCTGAGGGGCCTTTGTGGTCCACGACCCCCTCACTGGGCCGCACATCAGACCGTAGTCTTCCTGGTGTTAAGTTTAGCCTTTTAGAACCCGCGGTCGATCGGCAAAATCCAAAGTGGTCCATTTAAGCTTTAAGAGAACACTCTTCTTAGTGTTGATCTCGCGGTCGGTGTGAATGAAAGGGATCCCTTTAGAAAAGCGGGTCTGCCCCACGCGGCCCTGCTTCTGCTTCCGCCATGCCAACCTGCCTCCAGTGGGCCCGGTACTGAAGCCTGGTCCTCCAGTGTTGGCTACCACTGGGGAGCAGTGGTATCGAGTCAATATCGTCAGATTTTGTGCGGTTTGTGACACTAAAGACAAGTGTAAAGCAATAGACCCCCTATTTGTGATGGTCTCATTTGCTTATGTAGGTCATGGTTCTCAGACCTGTTTTGGGGTGATTTGGAGCGGTTTGGGGTTGCGGGCCTCGTGCCCTATGAAGGTGTCGGTGATCAGCAACTCTGCTCGTGAAGTACACTCTAAAAAATGTCACTGTAGATTAACGGTATTTTACTGGCAGCAAGGACGCCAGGAATTTACCGCTTTTAACGGTATACTACCGTAAATAGTTTTTACACTATGTTACCGTAAAATGGATTACTGTATGTTACCGTAAACTTCAACGAATTTTACTGTGAATTAACTGCGATTTACTGGCTCCGCGCGCATGCGTATGCTCTGCACGCGGTGTGAGTGTGTGCATTCAAACCCTTTGGATAATGCAAATCGTTTTGCTTCCATCAGTCTCAATCAGGCTTCGTGCTGCAGGGCGCTGCCAGCGTCTCCACTCGGAACAAGAGGCTAAGAGCAGGTTAAGTGTAAACTTAGTGGGAATGCAAATAACTCCCAGCTGTAAACAACGCAAGCAGGAGGCTGCAGCACACGCACATTAATGTTGAGTTACCGGCCGTAATCGATTGGCAAATGTTAACGGTTACAGGGATAATAGTTCACTTTATTTCTCTCTGTGAGTCAGATTTCTTACTTCTCCCCTGCAAGTTCGTTCATTTTTCACTTCCACACATTTACTGTGTGTAACACACTCTCAGTAGATACGTGGACGGGGACGCTCTGTGTCCACCCCTCAGGAACAGTTTCTATTCGTTACCTAAACTGTCTCGGTTTATACATGGACAGTCTGTATTTAACTAAAGAAATGGCTTTAGTTATTCAACATTTTGTTTTTTACTCACCTAATCAAACATTGACCACGTTGAATGACTTATAATCCAAATATGATCTATTATATCAGTGATTATGATGGAAGACTACCTACACTATAACACACTATGATGCTTTTCAGATCAGACCATAAATTGTGAACCTTTGTGAGACACGACAATATTTAGTCATTCTAAAATGCTTCATAATGTGTTAATTATTGTTATAAGCAGCATGAATTGTGTGCTGTTAGCAGATTGTAATGCATTAATGACACAAATTTAAAAAGCCACCTGGTTGTCTATATGGCTTTGGCTCTACATTCCGCTTTGAAACACAACAAACAGAAGGAAAAGAAAACATATTTGCAAAGGTGTTTCCCTCCCCGTGCTTAACTACTGAGGTGTTTCCAGCTGCTGTTGCCCTTCCGGGTGTTTGTCAGCAAGCTGTTAAACGTGTTGACCACCACTGCACTGATCCCCAGTCAAACCTGTGGATGCTCTGTTCATCACCACAGACGCCATAGTCGGACGCACCTGCCGGTTCCTCCACTATTACATCTTCTGTCCGGCCCCAGACGCTGAACCGCTGGCTGAGGCGTTGAACCCACCCATCCGCAAAGTCAACTTGTTCACGTTGCATTTGGGATCTGAGGGAGCTTGAATGCGTCATCGTTGGCTGCAAACAGGCCTAAAAATGTACATGTATCATAATCAAACGTCCTCTCATACGTCTCACTCCAAATAAACTCAACGCAGTCTGCCGCTTATAAGTCTTTTATTCTTATCGCATTATGTGGACCAGCCGTGTTAAAGCATGCCGCTTTCTACCCCCCCCCCCCCCCACACACACACACACACACACACACACACACATACTGCATAATTGGACTTGAGATCAAGGGGAATTATTTGTGGAAAATGAGAGACTTAGCAGTGCTTACATTAAGCATACAGCCGCTGTATTATCGCTGAGGTGCTAATGGACCCAGATGTGTTTCAGTGAAAGAGTAAAATATGTATGCTTAAGTATCAGCTAAGAGGAGCAATATTTAGACCAGAAGAGCCGCATGCAAATGAATCCATAATAAGATGATGCGAAACGAGGAGAGGAACGCCTAAAGAGCAAATTTATTAAATGAGGTCTTTTTAGGCAGCGGGCGATTCCCCCCGAGGACCAGCGATGAGCACTATTTAAAGCTCCTGCTCGTGGCCCCCTCGGGCCCCTTTGCACTCCTTTGAAATAGTGTAAGTGGATAAACCAGGATCGCTGTCGGTGACGTCTTCATAGAAGTGGTAAACAATAACAGGTCGGAGCCGGGGGGCCGGGGGGGGGCGGGGGGGCCCTCCCCTCTGCACTTGTCACTAAGGTGTCTGAGAGGATCGAGCCATGATCACTGAACGCGTCCCGTCCTCCCGCCTCCCCTCACCTGCAGCGTCCCGGGGTGTTTAAACCAGGCGTGTCTCTGTGGGCTCAATGAGGGAGTCTGTCTGCGGGTGTCCGTGCTCTGTGAGCCCAGCTGTCTGCGGGCTTCAGTCCCAAACAACAACAACAACAACAAAGACTCACAAACTACAAACAGACACGGAACAACGATTGAAATACTCACACTTCACGTGCAAACGCCTACGTGGTTCGGTCGTGACGTCTTCGCTCTCTCTGCTGAAGCGACTCAGCATCCGGCTTCGGCTCCTCAAAACACCAAATCACCATTTTCATTCTCAAAGGAAAAGTACTTTCCACAGCTTGGACGGAAGAAGAGCGGTTTCATGGTGGATTCACCAAGTGAGCAGAAAGCAAAAACCACATTTCTTATAATTAAGGGCAATACGGTTCAAATATGAACCTTTACTCTCATTCTTATTTTCATTCAAATCCCGACAGAAGTTCTATTTTATAAGCATGAGAAATTTTGCTCGGACCTGTTGTATGTTTTATATCCAGTGTACTCGCAGCCAGCCGTGGAATGATGACTATGATTTATTGATGGACTCATTGAGTTTTCCTTACACAAAAGGG